AATGGCTTAGCTAAGCGAAGCAAAGCAAAACATTCTGGATAACTTAAGCAGAAAATAAACTATTAATTGTTACTGGACATGAAGCATCTAAGCTATAGAAAAGGGACATAGAGGATGCTGGTAATTCCCAGCAGTTCCTGAGTCAACAGGGACAGGGCAGAAGTATTACAGTTTTTTTAAACTTAAATTAATAACTTTCAGCTATTTGTTGTATTTTTGTTTGTGTTAAAGGTAAAACAAAGAAGCGTTACCAGAAATTAACATCTTATGCAAGTCTTCTCTTGTTTTTTTCTTTAGTTCTTAATCATTTCATACAGTAATGCAACAACTCAACATTTGTAAGAAGGCTGAGCACAAGCTTTATTTTTAGACTATGTTAGTGTTATTAACAATTATATATAATTGTTAGGAATATTTAGGCTAGACATTCAGCTGACTGAAATAAGAGGCATTGTAACATCTTAAGTAATACAGCAATTACCCTTCTTGTAAAGATAATAGCCTTCCACAGTAATGGATGCAATGACTCAGGGTTGTGAAGGATGTGTCAACACATCAACAATTTGGTCCAACTGCCACCAATCCTTAAAGATTCTCTACTGCCCTAGTAAGTACAGCCAGTACTTGAAAACCTCTCCATGATGCTGCAGTCACAATTCCATTTTTGTGCCTTTATGTATCATTGCTAGAGGAAGCAAGAATGTAGAAGCAGCTCATACATTCAGGTGTACTGGACTTGGGACCCGAGAGATTGCCCCTTTCTTGCTTTAATTAAATAATTTTGTAAATGAGTAAATAACTATACTATATGTGTCATGTGTTTTATATGCTGTTACAACAACAAAACTACCATGACTGGCTTCTTTGGAATACTGGCAAATTGGTCAGTAGGACTTAAAATAGCCTTTGAAGTTGATGCTATACGTATGAGAGTCTTTACAGATATTGCATTGTATTGCCTCTGTTGCATCTAAAGAAATTCACAGGCAAAAACCTATCGAGAGTATGTACTGATAGCTCAAAGAAAACTATGATAAAATTAGAATAATTTTGATAACTATCTAGCAAAAATTTTTAAACTGATTTGTGACTTCCTTAAAAAAAATCAATTCCTAAAATAATGAAGTAAAGCTACAGTGGTCATTCACCCTTAACTTCCTAGGGATTCCATATAGTACCCATAGCTTTAGGTCTATAGCATTTAGTGTTTGTGGTCCTAAATTAAAATAATTGCTCAATAAAACTTTTTTCCACGCTTCATCTATTTCCAAATATAGAATCACATTGCTCAATGCTTATGCTGAAACTTTGCTCATAAAATGGATTATAATCTGAAATATACTCCTACTGCTGGCAGGGAAAATCTTTTTGCAATTCCTGCATCATTGTTTAGTTAATGGAGAATTAAACAGAGGAAGCTATTAGTGGCAAGGATTAAAATAAATTTAATGAAATAGTAAGTTATTAAGCTTACCTTTTGTTGCACTCTAGGACCCATTTCAAAATCAAAGTTTTTCCATTTAACCACTACACGTGATGGATTGCTTATGGAAATCCCTCTTACTAATAAGCAGAGTTGAAATACTTGCTTTTTTTCCGTGCTTTTCCCCCTCCCTTCCAGTATAGAGAAAAGTGCTGGAATTTGTCTGATGCCTTCAGCATCATCATACGGGCATAATTGCTGGCTTTCAAACTGGAAGTAAATACCTAAAATCTTCTAGATAATGTACTGATGACAATATGGCATAACCAAAACTTCTGATTACATCTGGAAACAAATTGAAATCTGATGCAGACCACTGAGTGCTTCCTACTGTCACGCTGCTAAAGAAAGCTATAGTAGCTCACTGGGGATTTCCAAATGTTAAGAGGATAGCAGCAACACCAGATGTTCAGCTTTGAGGGTCAGCTGTCTGACAGTACTCACAGAAGGAAAATTTCTGCAGATGACTTTTGCTAGATAGGTTTCTAGGACCACCCAGAAAGAAAGGCAGCTGCTGAGATTCTCACATAAGAGAATATTTTTGCCTAAATGCTTAAATAAGAAAATATTTTTCATCATCACAAAGGATGTAAGTTCTCTTTACTGCCCTCTTTCTCTTGGACCTAAGTTCCTTTTTTGAAACTCAACCAAAGTGCTTAAGATCTGGCAGCTCTGTCTTCTGACGTTTATCCAAACTAACTTCATGTAGATGCCTGGCTGGCAGTGCTGATCATGTGTGCCAAGACCTCTACGCCTCTGTACCTTTTTTCCTCTCTAGAAAGTAGGGTTTGTGGTAGGAGTGGGAGGAGGGAGTTGCAGGAAAAGGATGTTCCTGAGTACACACACCTTTGTCTAGATATCATAAATGCCTTTCTGTCCCCAAACCGCAGATGGCGTTCCATGTTCTCAGAATCCAACGGTTGCCATAGAAACCTGGATCAACTTCAACAAGGAAGAGCGAGCGGGCTTTTCAGAGACACTGCGCTCAAGTCTGAAGGTATAAAAAGACCTTCTGTTCCAGGGTTGGTGTAGCACTTGCTGGTTTCACACTTCCCAAGGCAGGGTATTCTGCTCACAGGTGTGACTTGAAAGTCGCAAAACACAAATGCTGTTGAAATTCATGGTGCTTGCGTGAGGAATACTTTCATTGTCATAAATAGCAACCCCACTGACAGCTTTTTAAATTTAACCTGAGGCTGCTTTCACAAGTCATTTGAGCAATGCCACAAATAACTTTTTCACCAGATGCTCAGTTACCAAAGAGATCATTCAGAAATAAGAGTTTGGCATTCCCCTTATAAAAACTCTACTCCATCAGTGATGTAACCAGCCCTTACCTAAACTACAGACACTTGGATTCCAGTGAAGTCTGTTGCTATTCTGCTATGTTAGGTGTGACTGGTATCTTGAAAAGGCTTATGAGGCTCCAAATCCTGAATGCTGTAGGGTGGCAGGACTTGGGAAGCAGGTTACACACCTCAGGCCCACAGGTGGGTCCTAAAAAGCTGAATAATTCAGTCTTAGGCATTGCTGATGTTTGTGTAAACAGGCCTAATTCTGTTGACATGCTCCTCCTTTCTTCCAGGTGATTGGAGAAAATGTTCACATCTACCTGATTGGAAAGGAGTCATCACGTACGCATTCACTTGCTGTCTCTCTGCATTGCGCTGATGATGACTCCATAAGCGTGAGTGGCCAGAACAGCCTGTGTCACCAGATCACCGCAGCCTGCAAGCACGGTAGTGACCTATATGTTGTTGGTGGCTCCATTCCACGACGCATGTGGAAATGCAACAATGCGACTATAGACTGGGAATGGTGTGCCCCTCTGCCCCGTGACCGGCTCCAACACACCCTTGTCTCCGTGCCAAGCAAGGATGCAATATATTCACTGGGGGGTAAAACCCTCCAGGACACACTCTCTAATGCTGTCATATATTACAGAGTACGAGACAATGTCTGGACAGAGACCAGCCAGTTGGAAGTGGCCGTCTCTGGAGCTGCAGGTGTAAACCTTAATGGTGTCATTTACCTGCTGGGTGGGGAGGAAAATGACTTGGACTTCTTTACCAAGCCCTCTCGGCTAATTCAGTGCTACGATACCAACACAGAGAAATGCCACGTGAAGCCATACGTACTGCCTCTTGCAGGGCGCATGCATGCTGCTGTACACAAGGATGTGGTGTTCATTGTAGCTGAGGGGGATTCACTGCTGTGTTACAATCCCTTACTGGATAGCTTCACCCGGCTATGTCTGCCAGATGCCTGGAGCTCAGTACCATCCCTCTGGAAAATTGCCAGCTGCAATGGCAGCATCTATGTCTTTCGCGACCGCTATAAAAAGGGTGATGCAAATACTTTTAAACTTAACCCAGCCACCTCTGTTGTAACTGTCACAAGTGGCATCAAAGTGCTGCTCACTAACCTGCAGTTTGTCCTGGCCTAAGCAGGAAAAACAGGCCCAGCGATAGAAAGGGCAGCAACGGTATTCTGCTGTGCAGCTCAGAGGCACCCACCACCCTCAGCACCAGTCCCAGTTACTACAAGCTCACAATATCCAGTAAGAACCCCATCCTCTATACCTGTGCAGAGGAAGTACAGGCTTTCGGGCTGTGGGCCTGTTCTTTTACGTAGTACTATTCAAGTTGAACTGTTGCATCTTAGATTTCAGACAGACTAAATGCTATTACTTTGATCCCTTGATGATAAGCTGCTTGTGTTTGAGGCCCAAACTGCAACAAATGGCTTTTTTAGCCTAGAACCAATCTGCCAGTAACAAATCCTATAGCATATGGACAACGTCCTCCTTGGCCCAGACTGGTAGTTTTAACTGGCTGGGAGACTGTGTGTTGCTGCCCTGTCAGTCACAGAGTTAGATGTGCACTGTGTCCTTCAGGGATGTCCCCGTTTAAACATTCCTGTGTCCCTCTTGCAGAAGGAGGGACTGGCAGAAACATTTACAGCAGACAGATTCCAGAGCTGACCCTAAGACCTTTAGTAGGTTGCATTACTCAGCACTTCTCCTAGAGGAGTGGTAACAAACTGGGAACTTGCTTACTGCTGTCATCACCTAGCATAAAGAGGGAGATCATTTTTAGGAGCATTGGCTTCCTTTACTGTACAGGGAATCCCTACCCGTATATAATGTAGTGTTGGTGAAAGACAGAATTAAGACCACTTCCTTTACCCCTCTCCGTTGGCACTGTAACCATTTGGATAAGAATCCGAATAAAGTCTCTGCTGAGACAAAGTTTTCTTTTCCCTTCCTGCAAATACTATAGAACTTCCTGTGGACTGCAGTTTGGCTCAGTATTGATACTGTGTGTGGGAGAGAAGAACTACGGGGCTCCAAGAGAACTAAGAGATTAGCCATAAGGAAAGAAAGCTTTAATGAAACAGCCCAACTTCCCCTTCACTGTAATTTATGTAAAAACTTCTTTATTGATAGTCAAGAAGTACAATGCTCAAGCCTTCATCAGATCATTAAAACGTAAGGGTTTTTTAAAGCAGATGAGACAGAGATTTTCGTAGTTCTTACTGACACTTTGCAGTTGTTCCAGTGATCACATTCCTGTGAAATGTCTCCAGGACCTGGACTTGCTTGTGCCGAACGAGGATGTGGGGTCGGATCTTAGCAATAGCCTCTATTGCTTCCTGAGGGCTCCAGTGATGCAGCTGAAAAGGCAGAAACCCTGCAAGTGAAAATCTATCCCATCCCTGCAGCAGTTAATGGAGCCTTCCTGGAGGCTACAGGTAACAGCAGAGTTATTAGAAAACTTGGTGCTTTGCCCCTTGCGTTTACTTCATGTTCCTCTCAGAGGGGCCTGAATGTCAATGCAACTTCATGAAATGAGTCCCTCGGTTAAAGAGGAATGGTTGCTGCCTGCGACCTCCATTTTCTGTCTCACTTATGCTTCCATCCTGTTGTGAATAGTTTCCTGTCCTAGTCCCACCAGACCAGAGCAAGACCGCAGCTTGCTTTTCTTCTTTTTAAAAAACTTTACTAGCACTCACACCACACTTCAGCACTTAGTGAGAAAATTTTCCTGTCAGCACTACGGGAAAATTTTTCAGGGAGCACTTAATAACACCAACAGAAGAATCCACAGGTGGGATTTTGTTCTTCGTGGTGGCTTACTCAGTTGGGTCTGTAGAGGAACTCAGAAAACCGAAGTCACTTCTCTTGACCCTGAATTATATTTACGGCAAAGCTTAGAAAGGCTCGCCATTTCAGTTAACCAAGGAGAAAATCTGAACAACAAAAATGGATGTTTATCTGCTCGGTGAACCTACCCTCATGAGTGACTTGTTATTCCCATCTCAATCTGTTCCTCCGTAGAAAGAATTAAGAACGGCAGAATAATTCAAAACCTGTTGAGAACTTACTGTATTAATGGCCCAGAAAACTGAGCAGCTTCCTGAAGTCTGAGTGATCTGCCAGAACCAGCAACAGATGCTATCAGACCATGTGTTTCAAAGCTTTGTTGCAACAACAGTTTCTCTTTCCCATAACATCAGAACATCTTTGCCAGTGCCTGTGCTAATAACTGAGCTGGCAGAGGCAGACTGTACAGATGAACGGAAAGACTACTTACAATGGCAGCTATATTGCAGCTTCACCACTATCTCACTGCCAGGAAGGCAGTCGATCTTGACAGTATCGTAAGCGCAGATGAGCAAGGTGTGCAAAGATAAACTAGATGATCAAAGAAAGCTTAGACTGCAGTTAAGCAAACATTAAGTTTCACTTGTTCATTTACCTTGTGTTTGCCACGTTCTACAAAACAGCGGCATAAGTTGGGGCCTAGCTATCTACCTCTTTTCAAATGGGTCTCCAGTCCAAACTCTGTAAAATCACGGAATGTTAACACACCTGTATGTGCTCAGGTTTCTCGAGCAAAAGCAAATTGTAAAGGTTGGCTGTACTCGCCCAGACCATGTGAAAATATGAAAATAAACCCCATTTAGTATAGAAGCCTTCTTACTTGAATTAAATACGCTGCCACCATGGTGGCACTGCGGGAGCGTCCTGCCTTGCAGTGCACGTAGACACTGTTACCGCACGCTCGGTGTTTCAGTATGAATTCAACGCCCTTGTGGAGGTTCTCCAAGGTGGGGACTCCTGTTAGATCCACGGTGCTGAGACGCAGTTGGTCCACTCCCATTGCCTCCCATTCCTGAAACGGAGATAGCGGGTTGGATTGGTTAACTTTTGGGGTTGGTTTCTTTTTTTTTTTTTTGCAAGAAAGAAAACCCAGAACTTGTTGAGACAGTTGGGAAGTTCAGTGGGGTTGTAAGCAGACTTTGAATGCCAATCCTTTCGATCAGATGTATGAAAGTTTTAGTGCTGGCTATCAGAAAGGAGAAGTTAAAGGGAACAGGGAAGATAGGGTTCGGCTAAAGGGAAGGAGGTGAGTTGGGATGCCGGTACACGCACAGCGACGTGTGGGGAACTCATGCCCCCCTTCCCTCTCCTCTCCACCGCCGTAGCTGTAACACTTGGCGTGCATCCTCACGTCTCACTGGTTTGTCGCAGTTTTAAAAGCCGGCTTAGGTACGAAGAAGCCACGTCTCTGCTGTCGGGATTTGGCGGTCGCCGCCAGGATCGCGGCAGGAGGCGGCCAAAGCCTCCCCTGGGCCGGGAGGAGGGAGCCTGCCGGGGAGGGCGGGGGGCACCGGCAAGCTCGGCGGGCTCAC